GTCAAGCATGAGGAGTAATGCAGGAAGGGAACCTTATTTTGTCCTTAAATGCCTTCGAAAGCACCATTTGTACTTCATTTTATTTTTCAATAAATCATTTCGATTCAGCGAATCTGTCTCCATGTTCATATTCACGTTCTTTGTGTTCACATACTGGAAATAACGCCTCTAGTGGAGTCAAACTGGGCTGGTCTTACGTGGGCGCAAGAGGAAATATGCACATGGAATACGGAAGAGCGGTCTTCGGCCAAGTTCTTCGAACTCTAATTCGAGTCACAGTCACTAATGAACCTAAAAAAGCTGCTTCGTTGCCCCCTATTTCAATTCCGTTAAAGGTAACCCTCTTGGTGGGAGTGGTAAATTACATGGCAACTGTTCAATCACTTCTACTCTCATCTTGGCAATGAACTCGCCTTAGAGTTCAACATATTGAACAGATAAACTCCAGGGGATCGTTCCGTCAACCTCATCGTTTATTCACTTACCTGGACCTTGGTGATTTTCTATAACTTGTCACAACAGCCGTAGGGCATACATTTGCTTTCGAAAAATCCTCACAAGTTCAATACATTTACAGGCTTATGCGAGAAATTACATGTGGGTAACTAAAATATAACTAAAAGAAAAACTTTATTGAGCAATATACGCATGCATACAGAGAAGGGGCATCCAATGGAATAAACGCTGAAGTCAAATATTTTACTTGGAAAAGTAACAACCTTTATTCTATAAGTTTTTGATGCTGGTTCCCTCGGTTGTCGTCAGACGCAGACCAAAGTTGCAAACCCGGTAATTTATAAGTGCAACAAAAAATCATACTTACGTAGATTAATAAACGGAGAATGAGTATCAAAAGAAATTTAACCAAAAATAAACGCAACTCTTTAAAGAAATAAATTTATCATGTAAATGTTCGAAACCGTGTCTCCAGCTTGTAGTTATGAGAATAGGCAGCGGGAAGAAAAACAGTCAACCTTTAACCATGTCCAGCGCGAAATTCTGTTTTGGCTGAATTTCCTGCCAATAGACGTCCACCGTGTTCGGTTGTCCAGACGGTATCGGCTGTGTGCGTCTCCACATGACCTTGAGAAATTCGGATGCGTCATCTACACTGATATACCTATTGATGTTTGTCTCGTCAAGGTGCATTGCGCCAAGGGGCACGTGAACATTCTCTATTAGACAGGTGCCAACAATAGGGGGTTTTCTATCAGAAACGCATGCGGAATTACCAACCCAGCCTTCCACCACGGCATTTAATGAGCTAACTTATCTACTACGTATGCAGACTGCCTAGCAAACAACATAACAACGAGTCCATGACTCGGTGGTTGTTGCGTTGGGCTTCTAACCAACAGAACGCGGGCTCAAGCATCAAACTTGGGTTTTCGTATGGCCGGATGCCAACGGCTAATAATGGGCGGTAAACTCAAATTGCCTGTACTGCTAGCTTCCATACGGCTACTGGTTGGGCTCGAGGGTGAGTTCCAGGGCACAGCAGGACGAATATGCCCTCATATTAGAATCGGTGTACGCCCACCAAAATCGATATTTGGCTGCCACTCCCGCTCGCGCGCGTGCTTCTGCTTTCCTGGGCATGTCAACTATTCTCCGTGCTAATAAGTGTTAAGCGCGTGTGGGACCCTGGATAGCTCGTCGT